CTAATGTCTTCCATGTCTTCTCTGGTACAGTTTCTTATGGGCTCTGATCTCCCAGGAGTGTGACACTCTCCCTCTGAGCTGAAGGACTCTCTCAGTGTAGTGTCCCTCTACTACTTTTAGATGCTCCTCTAGGGAACAGTGTAAGAACCTTCTGGGTTACAATCTTGGTCTGAAGGCCTCAGTGCATGCACTTTTACCATTTGAATCTCCTTCCATCTTTGAACTCCAATTTAGAAAACTAAAAATTCTGAAGGCTAATCTGCTGTTACTGCTCAGTGGAAATTTTACCTAATAAGGTACATGTGTTTTCTTCCTAATGGTATAAGCAAATTCGCAGTTTCTATAAGGTTATTGGGTGGGGTGGGGAGGTAGAGGGGGCAGAAAGGGGAAGGAAGCAGGTGTGACAGTCACTGTCCAGGGTTACACAGGTAGAGCAGAAACAGATCAACGCAGTCAGACATGTAGTGGTGCAGCTCTCTGTTTCATAACACCTACCTCCACGCCGCTCGTAGCACTCACATGATGCCACTAAATAAATGTAGGGCTCAGTGTGAATTCAGCCTGAGGCTGCCTTCCCTAATTCCCTTACTTTATAGATGAGAAAAGTGAAGCATTAATTTAGGAAGGGTTCTTGTGGATTCAGCATAGATAAAGGAATATTGGAATTTTCGTATATTTCTGGTGGAAATGTAAAATGGTTTGGTCCCTTTGGAAAACAGTCTCACATTTCCGCAGAAATACAGAGTTGCTGTATGACCCAGTAATTCCACTCTTGGGTATAAACCCAAGGGACACGAAGGCACATGTCACACACAAATACTGTATGCCAGTCACTGTTCACAGACAGTATGACTTGAGTCATACTGTCCAGGACGTGGAAACAGCCCAGTTGGATAGATAAATGAGATATGGTGTAGTCACACAGTGGGGCAAAGAGAAATGAAGCAGTGCTGTATGCTACAGCACGCATAGCTTCTTGAAAGCATCATGCTCAGTGAAAGAAGACATTCACAAGCGAACAAATTCATGAGTGCATTTGTAGGAAATGTCCAGAATAGGCAGATTTATAGAGATAGAAAGTTGAGTCATTGTTACCTGGGGCTTAAGGGAGTTGGAGAATGAGGTTGGGGCATGATTGCTATGGGTAAGGTTTTTTTGGGGTGCTGACCATATTCCAAAATTGATTGTGGTGATGACTGTACAACTCTGTTGAAGGAGCAGTATTCTAGTTATAGAAACCTCAAGCTTTGAAATTGGATTGCGTCAGTATAGTTGCAGCATGGGTAGCTATGTCATGTTGGACAGACCTGTGCTTAATCTGCCCACTTCTCAGGTTTTTGTTGATTTGATCATGTGTAATAACATATGCTGAAGTATTTACAAACAGTTGTTATGAAGGTAAATTAATTAATCCATTTAAAGTCTGTAGTATATCATCCTATAAATGGTGGCTGCTGCTAGCTTTCTCCTAGTCTTAAAAACTACCAGAACTTTCAGCTGAAGGCTAAGAGCTCCCCACTGCCCTCCTAGAGCACAGGATACTTCCCAACCCTTGTGGAGAAGGGGAAGCCATGTACTTACAACTAGCTGTGCTCTGTACTTTGATTAATGAATGCTTCCCAGGGTTGGTGACATTTACAGATTACAGGTTTTAAAGACCATTGCTACCTGCTGGAATGATAATGGAATGCAAACATTTTTAGTTAAAACCTTCTACACTGGGACCCCGGTGTTCCTGCCCAGGCACTGACTAACTATGGGCCTAACCTGGCTGGCTTGCCTGGTGTTGGTTCATTATACTGCCGTTGCCTGTTTGAGTCAAAGGATTTGCTTTGGAAGTGTTCAGCTGCAGGCCCATAGATTCCCAATAGAAACACGAAACAATCAATGCTTAGAAGCAATTATATTTATAGTTATGGGGCAAACTCAAGTTAGCAAGACGGCTTGACAAACAATTAACAGAAAAGTAAAGAAATTAAGAGTCCCAAAAGACACTGTGTCACATTTAAGAGACATTAGGAACTCTCTCCCCATTTCACTGAGTTTCTTGTTCCCTCCCTACTTCCTTCTCCCGCAACTTTACTTTGGCTGTTGTCTTTCTCTTGGCGCCCGGTACTCCTGACTGAAGCACTGTCCAGATCTTCTCTATGTCTAGGTATTTTAAAACTAGGGTGAACCATAATGCCTGAGCTGCCTGGGAGACTGGAGCATTGTTAGAAAGCAAAGGGATTGAGTTTTAAACAGCTTAAGAATATTAACACATAGTGATGTCCTTCTCCCTCTGCTCCAGCTCCTCTTTGCGTTGACATGAGACTTGGTAATATACTCTCTGCCAATGTTTGAAGGGCTGATTACGTGGCCAATGTGGAGATGGGTGTGGAGCTGTCGGGACTCCCCACAGCAGCCCTGCTTCATGTGTCCAGTGTAAGATGGTTAATTTAGGAGCCTGCCTGCCTAGATATAAAACTCTACTGTGATAATATGATCAAAACCACCCAGACAGTATAGAGTTTGTTCAGATTTTAGCTAAAGAAAATTATCATTAGTTTTTTTTTAAAAGGTTTATTTATTTATGCATACACAACTGGGGTACAGGCCAGAGGTGCAGGGATGGTGAGAGGATTCAGCAGAGACAGAGTGGGGAGCAGAACAGGCAGATTGAACAAAGTGCACTGCTGAGGGGAGCAGCAGGCGGGGCCAAGATTGGTCTGCTGGGCCATGTGGATCACCTCTGGGGCCAGGGATTGAACTCTGCACTGAAGTGGCTGCTGCTAGCTTGTAGTGCTGTGCTTTAACCCACTGCGCCACCAGGGAGGGCCAAGCTAAAGAAAATTATGATGCACATTCCTTTCCTTTTATGGTGGAAAAACACAGACATTGGAGTCAGATAAGCTGAGTCTGCATCTTAGCACAGACTACCTATAGCATTTAACCTGAGGCTTCAGTTTCATCTATAAAACAGGACTAATCATATTACATTTTATTCAATTCTGTGGAAGTGGAAACTTGTAAGGAAGAGATAAGAAATAGTGAAGGACGATTGGTATCATCATGGCCATTAGAGTTTCAGTCTACAAAGGAGATCAAATATGAAAGACGGAAGTTGTGCGATTCGGAACTGACCACCTATAGAATACATGTAGGTGCTGAAGAGCACAATGTGACTTATCCTTTGGCTGCTCTCTGCGCTTTGCTTCTCTAGCACTGAATTGGACTATTTCTGATCTTATGGAATTGAAAAATGCAGCTGACATTGCCACCTGAGTGCTTGGCATTTTCTGAAATCGAAGCAAGAAGATTTCACCTTGCCATCTTTACTCTGCAGTGTCTGCATGGCACAGGTGACAGTCGCCCCTGTGTTCCTTTGGAACCAAGTGGCATAGGATTTCTTTCTCTAAGAAAACTACCTGGTGACTGTTCTGTGAGCTTGGGATGCCATATGAGAAGCACACTCTACGTGTTCATATTTATTTATGAACATATATATTCAGGTCTACTGTTAATGTTAACTGCTGACCCAGGATGGGTCTGCTGATTTCCTGTGTGCCCACAGAGTACTAGTTCTTTAAGCATTATTATTTTGTGTAATTTTCACAAAAAAAATATCTATGAGAATATTACAACCCTTATTTTACAAATAAAGAAACGTTCACCTTTCTGAGCTCCAGAAACATAATTAGTGGAGCCTGTACTCGATCTCTTTTGCTACGCGACAAACTCCATGTACTTTACCGATGCGACCTCGGGAGCAAATAAGACTCAGACAACATGAGACTTACATCAGTGTCTTTTCCTGAGTATCTGTGGTGCTGTGCAGATGTTTTGCTTTTGAGGTTTTGATAGTATACAAATAGCTGTGACTTTGCAGGCATGGTGTATGGGTAGAGAACAGGGATTGTGGGTGGTGAGATGTTTTGTTTTAAAATTGCCTTAATCTTCTGCAATTATAGAAATATAGTTTATAGAAATAAACTTTCTAGATGCAAGTCTAAGAGACTTAAAAATAGTTTAATTTCTGTTCAGTTGCCCCCCCTGAAACATTCAATGTTAATTTCTGCCTCCCATTTCCTGCACAATAATTCCTAAAGCTCAAGTTGTCTTTCTAGTTCCAGTAAAGTGGAAAGAAAGCAAGAAAACAAAGTGAAATCGAAGTCCTCACTTTTACTCTTATTTGTATAGGTCCTGGGTGTCTCTGAGGACTTGTTCTTCTACTTTCACATTCCTCCTACAAAGAGGCCACCCAGAATTCTTTTTCTGGAAAAATAGTGCCCAGAAGTCTGTGATTGCTTTTTTATAGTCACTCTGGGGTCAGCTGAAGAGAGAAGCATCTTAAGAGAGGTCCATAATATAGATTCAAAGTGAACCCAGAATCCTCTGGTGATGCTCTTGGGTGCATCCAGTTAGTGCCATGACGTGGGTTGCACATCAGGTTGTCATGGCAATACGGCAATAGCAGCTGGCAGCATGACCATGAAACCCTGGGAGGAGAAGACATTTGGCAACGATGCTGCAATCACTGACAGCGCTCTGTCTCTCACACTGAGTGCTGCCGTAGTGTGCTGGGGCTCTCACATGACTGGCATGAGGCTGCTCTCCACTTCAGAGCTGATTAGCAGGTGCAGTTCAGGTGTTGATTAAGATTTTGTGAGTCTGAAGGTTCTTGGAAACACGGTCCTGAGCACAGTGTATAGGTGTGTACATGCACACATATGGACAAGGACATTATAATTGTGTTTGTATGTGAGGAAGAGAGAACGTGAAGGGGAGGAGATTCAGGAGAAGCATATTACAGGCTTATGTGCATCTGTTAAAGAACAATACAGGCCTTGGCTCAAATACCAAAATTTATAGTCTCTGGAAGAAATAGGGGAAGCCTAGAGTATTCTGACTAAAGTTGTGGGACTCCTATCTGAGAGAATATAATGCTGGGGTTGTAACCAAAGCTAGGGTTATCACAGCAAAGAGGAGGGAGTGAGGGGTACATATTATTCCTAAGTCAGAAGGAACCAAAGGTGGGATTTGGGGTCAAGATTGTAAAGTCAAGAATTCAAGACCACATGAAGAGGAGAAGGGAGGTAAAGTTAGCCTAAAATAAATTGGAAATAGGATTTGGATCCAAAATAGTTTCTTTAAATCATACAGAAACTCTTCTGCCTTAGAATTTTGTCCCAGCAAGCTTGTGGTACAAGTAAGATTATGTTCATACATCTAGTAGGGGTAATAGGTAATGCTGAAATGGAGCATTTGAGTCCAGGTTCGGGTATAGTTATTTAGTGGAAGGTAGCAGGAAGCGAATGGCAAGAAGTTACTTTTCATAGCGGGAAGACTCTTCAGCCAGCCCCATGTGGGGAGGCAGCTATGCGATGGCTCCTGAGGCTTGCTCAGAATGTATCGACCGCTATAGCATGCAAGGCCCTCAGCAAAGGTCTCATAATTTCTCTTTCAGACAAGAACTGGGACTCATTATATGGTGGAAAAAATAAAACTTAACTTCAAATATTATAGCCTGGATGGTTGCCTAAACTGTGGTATCTATAAAAAAGGCCAGGGGTGTAGGTGAAGGTTGGAAAGGGAAGATACCCAGAGAATAATGTTGTGCTTAGAGGACATATTGTGGAGTCAAACCTTGTGGAGTCAAACTGCAACTGTCACTTATTTTGTCTGCAGTTTTGAGCCAGTTTCTTACTCCTTCTATGTCTCATTTTCTTCACCTCTCAAATTGATATACTAGAAGCTACATTACGATGGGACCGCTGTAATGATTAATTGAAATAGTATGGGTAAAATGCTTAGAAGAGAGCCCAATATGTGGGCGGGCACTGAAAGAATCCAAAAGCTGACTACAGATCTATAGTCAGGATGTCAAAAGGGAGAATACGCAAATAAATAGACTTCTAGAAGCAAAAGAGACAATCAAAACAAATGTATTAGAAATTCAGAGGATTCTAAAAGATTACTATGAACATTTATATGCTTAGTGAATTGAATAAACTCAAAGAGGTATACAAATTCTTAAAAAATATAACGTGGCTGGAACTGATCAGGAAGTTATAGAAAACATGAACAGACTGATTACAAGTAGTTAGTTCTACCAAAACTGTTCTTGATCTAGTTTTTCACTATTAAGTATAATGTTTGCTCTAGATTTTTTAATGGGCATTTTTTTATAAACTTGGCAAAATTCCTCTCCTACTCTGGCAAAAGTTTTTATCATAAATGGGTGTTATTTTTGTCAGATGATTTTTTCTGCTTCTCATGATAGGTTATGTGATTTCTTTCTCTTCTTTGATGTAATAGATTAACTGATTTTCAAAAATTGAAGTAGCTTTGCACACCTGGTATAAATCCCACTTGACTGTGGTGTATATTTTTTTATACATTGTTGCATTCCACTTGCTCATATTTTACTAAGGATTAAATGTTTTCTTTGAACCACCTTTTTAAAAAAAGACCATTCAAGAAAAAAAATGGGCGCTATATATACATCATTGATGGAAAATTTGTATTGAAAAGTAGAAAAGAGAAAGATACTCTAAACACCATCACTGCACAAGAGTTTTGACCTATTAAAATAATTTATAATGCAAACAATGATAATGACAACAATAGTAAATAGTATTTCTTGACTGAGTGGGTACTGGAAGTATTTAATTGTTTTAACTGAGGCAAGACCCCACACTCTTCTAAGAGGGTGCTGAAAGGAGGTAAAAGGATACAAGAGATTGCTTTTGCTTAGCAGCTCTGATGACAATGATTGCTCTGGCCGACATGTCCACTTCAGTAACCTTTTACTCTGCCCTTCTCTATACCCTGTTGTAAAATCTGAACAATTTAGGTTTCTAAGCAGGTTATCAGAAAAATATTGGCCATCAATGAGAATGTGATACTGAAACACAGGTCATAGTTCGTGTGTATATAGACTGATGGGTAATTTGCTGCGTCCTGGGAGTGGGTAGTTGTTTTATTCCCATATCGCTTCTATCCCATTCATATGCAGACATGGCAGTGGGGAATCAAGCCATCCCCTTCAGGGGAACTCGGTCCTCCCTGTTGTTGAAACTGCCATTCTCTGCCCTCACTGCAGCTGGCAGAAGTTCGGAAGGGGCTTTCTTGTGGTACAGTGCCAAACTAAATACTGGAGGCTATCCACAGACTTAACTTTGAGATTCCTACCTGACATGGACATTGGTGTGCTGGGGGCCCTGTGCTGTGGGGCGAGGGTGACTTATGCAGTGTCTGAAAGGCTCCATTTCCTGCTTTTTCCTTTTCCACTTTAGAATAGTTACCTGTTAGAAGAGGAAAAAAAGGACCAAAGATGACTTTGAGGGAGGTAGAATCTTCTTTATTGCATGCAGTTCACAATTTCTTTAGTCATTTGTAGAGTAGGCTGCTTTAAACCTTGTAGGAAATTTGGCTGAGACAAGAAGTCTTTCTGATATCTCAATCAATACAGACTCGGATGCTTTTCTTTTGCGCGGCTCTTTTCTGGAACAGATCTATCTTAGGCTATGATGCTTTGTAGCTGATCCGCTTGTTTTTATAATTAGCCTATAATAGAAAAGTTAATAAAACCTTGGTTTCCTACAGCCCAGCTAGCCAGGTGTTAATGGCTTCCAGCCTACGTCAAGCACATTGAATGGTGGTGTTTTTAAGTACGAGCTCTTAATTCATGGTTTTATGTCTTTAATGATGTGTGTGTAAAGTGCCTTTGTGCGAGAGCGCCTGCCTCTTGTGTCTGGCCTAGCCTGGAAGTAGTAAGTATAAGAGCACATGGAGAGTGCCATGGGATAAGACTTCACTCTTCAGATGTTCATTCTTTATCCCAAGAATCACATCCCAGCAGGGATAGCCACAAAGGCAGCCTGTTAATGGAGGAAACAGCTCAATTAAGAAGAAATGAATTTCAAGAAATTTAAACAGGCAGAAAGGGATCATTAAGAAGTCCTGAGCTGTAGCAGAAAGTACACCGGCCTAAGCCAGAGGAAAGTTGGCTTCTTAGTCTTTCTTAGGGGCGTTCTCTGAGCCTTTCTGTCCACATATACAATGAGGTGGTTGGCCTCAGCTCTAGTGAGAACAATTAGATGCTCACTAATTACTTCCGGCCATTCACAAATAGGCTGCCCTTTGTTGCAAATGACAAGGAGACTCTATTTCAGAAATTTTAGTAAAATGCTTTGTTAAGTAATAATATAGCTTTTCATAATACCAGGGCTTTAAGGTTCTGTGAAATTAGAGGCCATCAAAAGGAGAACGCTCCCTTGCTTTCATCTGTGTGAGGGACTCCAACCCTTTTGGTGATATTTTCTTGGAAACCACTACCAGTGCCGGGGAAGTATTTTGAGGAGGAAAGGGAGACTTTTAACTAGAATACTGCTACTTTTGATGTATTATATTTTGGGGTTTCACATTTAAATCATCTTTAGGCCAAGGCATTTAAAAAGTTTGGCAATTACTGGGCCCTCCCTGGTGGCACAGTGGGTTAAGCACAGCACTGCCAAGCTAGCAGCAATTCAGTGCCAGTTCGACCCCCAGCTGGGAGCTGACCCACATGGCAGCAGACCTCTCCTGCCTCGCCCACTGCTCCTCTCAGCAGTGCACTTCGTTGATCTACCTGTTCTGCTCCCAACTCTGTCTGGTGAATCCTTTCACCGCCCCTGCACCTCTGGCCTGTACCCTAGTTCTGTATGCATAAATAAATAAATCTTTAAAAATAAGTTTGGCAATTACTAATTGATTTTTTACTAAAGGAATTTTTGGTATCACCAGTCTCATCGGTTTGTAATACACCCAGCTGTGGAGGAGATGAAATGGACTGTGAAAGGGAGAATCAAAAGCGATTTCAAGGGAATCATTTCTCCAGAGTACTCAACCTACCACATTCCTCTTTGGGGCTCTGAATTTGAATGAATGCAGAAGTTTGAGCCCAGAATAACCCAGATAAGCCCAGAAGTTTGTTCTTAACCATTTTGAACTACTTTGGAGAATGCTTATTTGTTAATGAGGAGAAAATGGGAGTGAGAAAGAGACCTAAATTGTTCTAGAATTTTCTACCCTCAAATTCTCTAATCTGTATAAAGTGCCATGTTAAAAGGCCCACTTAAAGCAATGGGAAATGGAGAATTTAATGTTTAAAAGTCATGATTTATTCTGACAGAAGTCTGGTATGTACCTTTCCTGTGAAGTCACCTCCCTATCTTCAGACCACATGTGTAGGTGAGGTCTAATGGAGAAAGTTCCAGTCACTTCTTATTACACCCTCCATTTTTTGTTACTTGGAACTGTTAAGAGAATTACTTAGGCATTCAGACAAGTTTATCCCTGTACTTAAGCTTTCAGGGTTTATACTAGACAAGAAGGTACTAGGTCTTATAATTTTATTCCAAGGTTAGAGATCCATCAATAAATGATTACCATGAAGCATAACATCCTCAAATATACACACTCAAGAAACAGGAATTACATAAATAAGCATAAATCACTGTTCTCAATCTGATGCAGAATCTGCAGGGACATTAATAACACTTAACACTCTCAGTCTCCTTTCCTTTAGCACCAGGGAGAGTTGCTGCAGAGCATATGAATTCAAGGCTTGTGTCGCTTAGGCACTGGTATGGACGAGGATACACATCATGTATTGCGATTCTAAAGGCAGCATTACAGAAGCTGCTTGAAGTGTTTGGCCTCCTTCAGTTTTTTGTTTTTGTTTTTTGTAGTGGTTTTTTTTTTTATTACAAAAGTTTATTTTTACATCATTTTGTACATTTTTTTTTCCATCTCAATTGTAATCCCCGCGGGTTTCCCATCACCAAGTCACCCATGTGCCATCACCATAATCCCATGCATTTCCCTCCCCCCACCCCGTTTTTGATCCCATTCCCTACTCCACCCCCGCAAAATGTCTCTGGTATATGGTTGTTCATTATTTTTGTTATTTTCTCGCCTGGTCCATTATACTCCTGCTATGAGTGAAACCATCCGGTATTTTTCTTTCTCTTTCTGGCTTATCTCACTAAGCATGATCTTTTCCAGCTACATCCAAGTTGCTGCAAAAGACATGTGTTTCTCTTTTTTGGTTGCTGAGTAATATTCCATTGTATATATGCACCACATCTTTTTTATCCAGTCATCTACTTTTGGGCATTTGGGCTGCTTCCATGTTTTTCCAATTGTAAATAAAGCAGCAATAAACATGAGGGTACAGGTATCTTTTTCAATCAGTGTTTTTGTGTCTTTTGGGTAGATACCTAGGAGTGGGATTGCTGTGGCCTCCTTCAGTTTTTAAGAGGCTAATTAAAAATGGATTCATCTTCCCCCCACCTCTCTTTTAGTCTTTTGCTTCCTCAGTCTCCTTTCTTAGGTTTTCAGAGTTTGACTTCCTTTCTAACACACTATTGGAGCTAAAAGAGCACCAGAGTAAAAGGATTAGCATTTTCTGTTTTTCTTCCAAGTTTGCACCTGTGTCTGTTTCCTTATCTATAAAACCTGAGTGTGAATAAGTCTGTAGATGGCAGCTCCTTTCTCTATCAGCTCTAAGAGTCTCCCTTGGCCGTCTCCTTTGGCCTACTATTCTATCTCTTCCCAGTTCTCAACCTGAGCTACTCAACATGCATCGCTGTTCAGAAATGCTCATAATAAATGTGATTGTGAGGAAACATCCATTAAGTGTAGTTACTGACAAATATGGAGCTCAAAAGTGGTTATTCATAGTTTCTCATTACGTTTGCCTTTCTGATGCCCTAGTGAAAGATAGATTACAGGCATATTTTATTTGGTCAGCACAGTGGTTGCAAAACAGGGTTTTTTCAGCCATTAGAGACTGAAAATCTAAAGGCTTTATACCACCCAGTTTTGGTGAAGACAGAGGGAAATGCCAGCCTCTACATACTGCAGTGGGAGTGGGTCCATGCATCTGTTCTGGGGGTCGGTTTGGCAGCCTCTGCGGTATTGCCCAGCTGTATGACTCAGTGATTTCAAGGGTCTCTAAAGAAATTTGTATGAAATATTAAGAGGTATATCCAAAGATGGTCATTGCTGTACTGTTTGTACTAGTAAAAATTTAGAAGCATTCTGTTTTCATTATGAAGGGGGATATTTAATGGATATGTTTTATCCATTTTTATATATGTGAAATATCCATATTGTATCATATGTGTATTGAAAGTAACACAAAGAATGAAGTTATCTGTATGTACTAACATATTTTAAGGAGAAAAGCAAGACCCAGAACCATATGTTCACTGTCATCCACTTGTATAAAAACAACATAATTGTCTATATACAAAAGCATATATCTATCTAGACACATGACTGCAAGTATAAATACCAAACTGTTAGTAGTAATCACCTTCTGAGGAAGAAAGTGATAGTGGAATGGAGGAGGAAGAGGAATTTCATTTTTGTGTGATACAGATTCATCTCTTAAAATTTTAAAAAGTGATTATGTATTGCTGATGTAAAAATGTTCAAAAGGGAAAGCAAAAGGAAGAATAAGGAGAGGAGTGAAAGAGGCAAATGAATTAGCAGGAAAGTTCATCAATGGTAATTGAATAACATATTTAAAGGATAAACTTAAAACTTCAGGATCAGAGGAAACAAGGTTTGCATGTGACCAGGACTACCTGATGTAGTTTTGAAGTTGAAGAGTTTAGAGAGCCGGGTCCTTGGGCTCACTCTGGGAAAGGCTTCAGAGCTCCCCTTTCAGCAGTACACGGCAAGTTTGTCCATGAGACAGAGATATTATGTGTAAAGAGCAGGTTTATTAGGAAAAGGGGGCAGAAGAATAAAGGACGCTTCTATAGACAGAAGCAGGCAGAAAGAGCTGCCCCTCTGTGGGGGCAGCTTTAGGTTTTATCCTCTTCTTTCGGTAGGGAGGGGCTCATCTTGTGAGTGGTTAGAGTGTTGCTATATTGGACAACTATGCAGAATCAGAGAGAGAGATTCCACAGTGGGCCCCATCTCCATGTCTTCACCCTCAGGTCTGCGTGCCTGCGGCCATCTGATACTTGCTAATCCCTTTGCCTGCTTGGGCCTTACCTCTTGTGATCAGGCACCAGATTTAAGTATCTTGATTTCTGTAGCTGGGTTAATGGTCATGCTCACCCCTCTACCCCCACTTCCTGTGTGAATCAGGTTCTGGTCTTGCGATGCTTCCTTTAGGTTTTCTATTCTTTCCTCCACTACTACCTACCACTTAGAATGATAACTCTACCCTTCCAGCTCCTTGTGTGTGCAGCTTACTCTTCTTACTTCTCTGTGTTCTAGAGGTGACTCAGGACCAGTTGAAGGTGTTTAAGAAAGTTCAGAAAGTGATTGCTGATGAGGAGCAGAAGGCCCTTCATTTTGTGGACATCCAGGAAGAAATGGCCACAGCTCATGTGACTAAGATACTGGCAGACAGCCAACCTCGCATGGATAGGTTGGTGACCCAGGCGGCCCAAGCCAAGGAACAACTTGGTACCTCTAATGAATCAGCTGAACCAAAGGAAGAGGTAAAAGAAAACATCTACATTTATTGGTAGTAGGAGAAACAGAAACTAACTGCCACATTTGTTAACTCTGGAAATGTTCCGTAACTGCAGTCCCTGAGAATGAGTGAATGAATCAAAGCTTAGGTAGGTTATTAATGTTTAGACTGGTGTGCAAAACAGTCTGGGAATATTGGCTGCTAAGACCTATATCCAGTAACTGGCCCTAGCAAAATATTTGTGCCCCATAACTTAAAGTCAATGGGGCAAGTACTAATCACAGTTAAGGAAGAAGCTGGGAATCAGTGCCAGACAAGAAGGCTCTCACAGACCTGTGCTGTAAAATGAGCCCTAAATAAGGTCATCATAGGGCTGAGAACTGGGCTGACTGAACATGTCAGAATTGGGAGCATAAAGCAGGACAGAGGGAAAGATTTGGATTGATACTGTGAATAGTGAAAAGATGCCCCCAGCTGTTTTTACATGGAGCCAACAGCATAAATTGGGGGTATCAATGCTGGATTAAGAGAGGCATGAGGACCGGGCCTTTTAAGGACCAAAAAGACAAGTGTGAATGAAAGGCACAAGTAAAGTGAATCACTTGAAACTCTGTTAACCTGGTCCTTCCCCATGTGCTTTGAACCAGTGATTATTGTTCTCGAAAGAACCTCATCCATACAGGCAACAAAAATGGAAGAGCATGAAGCAGAATCCTGTGGTCTGTGCCCTTCCACTCTACCTGGAAATGTTATTAGCAACTCAGAGGAAGTACGATAAAGAATCCCCTAGCACGCTTACAATGACCTAGACACTTGCAAAGTGTTTGGCACACATGTTCTCTTGCAGATGTATTTCTCTCACATCTAGCTACACTTGGAGGTAAGAATTTGGATCTTCCTGTGTAGACGAGGAAACTGAGCCTTGGAAAAGTTAAATAAACTGCCAAAAGCCTCACTTGGAATTGATCAATCAGAATTTGAAGCCATATTTCTGTGACACAACCATCTTGTAATTATTACACAAAGAGATGTGACTGTGATGAGGATGTAACCTAAATCACAGGAAAAACCAGCTACATTTTTCCATAAGGCTCTTCCAGACAATTGTATTTTAACATCCAAAATAATTGAAAAAATGTGTAAGGTTTAATAGTGTCATTGATAGTTATGTGATTCATATTAAATTTAAATTATTACTTTTTTCTTACTAGTGAATATTTCCCCAAAGACATGTCAATCAAAATGCAAAGAGAATAGCCACCATCCTTATGCCCTCTTTCCACCACTCTCTCCAGCTCTCTGTCAAGAGAGTAGAAATGATTAGCTCTCCTACTGCTAATTCAGATCCTTAATAGTCTGCTTAAATGCCCTTAGCCCACCTCCAGTGCAAAACCCCGTGTTAATCACCTTCCTTGCTGGAGCCTCTCGCCCCTGCCCTCGCAGCAACCCAGCCTCTGCCCCCTGTCCAAGCAGGCACGCACATATCCATCCCCCAGGGTCACAGACTCGAAATTCCTTAAACACACATTTAAAAACAAAACCAAAAAATGCCTGTGCCTTTGCCCTTGCTAATACAGCGCTGTGCTTCTGTTGCTGCCTGGGAAAATCTTGTTTCTCTCTCAGGTACGGTCGCAAATGTCATCTCGGTGCAGCCTTCCCCACCTTGTCCAGGAGAGGCAGTGTCAGTGTCTTTCCTTCTCAATTTCAAAACACTGTCTGTGGCTCCAAAAGCGCCCTGAACACAGTTATAGTTCACTGTCTGTGTCTGCTTTGCCTGCCCCTGAAGAGGAGCGCTGCCAACTTTGGGTCATTAGGGTGATTTATCTCTCACCTTTGCACCTACATAAAGGAATTTCTTACTGAATCGCTGAATTGTTACTGATCTTTATAGTTTTATTAAGGGTATTCTATGCTTTATATACACCGTGCTTGACATTTATGTAGAATATTTAATTTTCACATTCAACCCGTAATACAGGAACAGTTTCCCCCATTTTACAAATTAAGAATTAAGAGAGTCAGAATAACTTGATCATGGGAACACAGCAAACAAGGACTTGAGTCAAGATTTAAACCCATAGTGTCTGACTCATTTTCCTTTATACTATTAGGAACCATCAGTCAATGAAGTTGGGAGGCAGGAAGTAGATCTTTGAAGACTTCTATTGGAACCAACCCTGAATGGCTAAAGATGAGGCTGTAGAGATATACTGTCACCAAAAGAATGAGTGAGGTCTCTTGGAAAGGCTTGAAAATCATTTGCAAAGTGTTGTTGGGTCACAGAAAGAGGCTCAATGGAATTTGGCATGATCACTGATAAAATTAGTTCATGGAATACAGTACTCGGAGGGAATGCATTACCTTCACATATTGTTTTAACAGAGTAAATAAGAACAAAAACACTGTTTGAAGAATAACAAAGATCATCAAATGTCAGAGCTTTCCTTTTACAAGAAGAAAAGCAAGGTCCAGCTTAATGAACTTGTCCAAGGGCACCTAACTCATAATTAGAGGACTTGAACTAGAACCCCAGTTTCCTGAGTCCCCCTTCCATGTTCTTTCTACATTGTGTTAGAGCGGCTCTGTTCATGTTGGGAGAGAAATTGCTAGACCAAGGCACAGGCAAGGCTTTGAGGGTAACAGCTTGATGCTTTTGGAGCTGGCCAGCTTTGCCTAAGACCTGCTGCTATTTTAGAATCTCAGTTTGCTCAGAACCAAATACTGCCAGCCATACAAATAAAAAGGCAAGGCTATTATGGAGGCCTCCTAGGTCCTCGCATTCACGTCTGTGCTTCCAAGGGCAAGTTATCGGTTCATCTCTGCTGGGCAGTTTGAACACAGAATTATATCATCCCTTGTCTTAGCTTTTGAACATCATTGGTTTGTCAGTGTTGAAATAAATGCATGACCCTTGCTGTCAGGTTGGGAGAGAAGAGAGAAATGAAAGTATCTGTATCGGTCTCTACCGATGGTGATTTCTAAAGCTGTTTCTTTTTGTTTTTTTTTTTTTTTTTTTAGGGCAATGAAGACAGACCCAGGTAAGACCATATATATTATTGCTGCTTGTCTGTTCTCAGAATTGAAGTAGAGTGACATTTTTGACTTCTTAATGTCCAGTGAAATATGGACAGTCAAGGAATGGCACAGAAAAGGGATCTCCATCTTAAGCCAGGGCTTTGAAGGTTTTATTTTCTAAGGCTCCCATCTCCTTCCCCATCTATGTCATTTCCTGCCTGCAACCTTCAGATAAAGGTAGACTTTAAAGTACGCAGTAACAGTAACTTTGCTTTATTCTTTAGTACATTCAGAACACCTTGTTAAGAAAAGTAGGTACTACATTTGAATGATAATTAGGCTGTCGGGTGGACTGACTAGATAAACTTTTGCATTGTTCTTTCTTGATTGGAATTGGATTGCTTTTTTTTAATGGCCTGTAGATCCAATATTCTTTATTTCTCACCTATAACATCTTTGTGTCTGCCTCAAGACATCTATACTTTTGAATCCTAGGTCATAAGTATACAAAACTTTGTTTAGGAAAAAGGAATTGCTCCTTTGTGCTTCTGTACCACTATTTGTAATTTAAAAGTGCATTTTATTGTAGCCTCAGCCTTGCAGTGAATCTACAAATAAGGACATTGCCTCTCCTGTCATTCTATTCAGGCGATGTGAACAGGCTCTAGGAACTGCTGTGCTGTGCCATTAACACAGTCCAGGGGCATTTGTCTAAAGTGCAGTGTCCAGATAGACCCTCTCTGTCACATAGGATCAAGGACTGTTAAGACAGGAAAGGATCAGGAAAGTCATTCCAGCCACTGCTATTCAGGCTTCAATTGTAGCAGAAGTACTGGGTACTTCACAGGGGCTTTAAGCAGAACCCCAGTGTACAAAAAAGAAACAATTTTTCTCTGATTAAAGTTGGGACACATATACTTTGCCTTCATTAAAAGACACAGGGAGGCCCTCCCTGGTGGCGCAACATGTTAAAGCACAGGACTATGATGCTATCACAGCCACTGCAGCACAAGTTCAGTCCCCAGCCAGGGGGTGACCCACATGGTGCAGCAGACCTTTCCTGGCCCACCGCTGCTCTCCTCAGCACGGTACCTCGTCAGTCGGCCTGTTCTGTTCCTCACTCTGTCTCTGGTGAATTCTCTCACCCCCTGCGCCTCTGGCCTGTACTCCAGGTCTATAGGCATAAATAAATAAATTAAAAAAAAAAAGACACAAGGGAATTGGTGAAAACCTAGGTTCCTCAAAACCCAGTTTGAAAACTGCACAATTCATTCATTAAAAGAATCTAAATTATTTGTTCAGGGTTACCTTAGGGGAGGCAGGATTAAGCTCTTTTGCTTTTATTTACAAACCAACAAAAACTAGTGTTGTGTTTTTGTTTGTTCTGTTTTGTTTTTGCCTCTCCAAAACAAGTTTTTAATACGAAATGTTAACCCACATCTGCACCTGCTGGTCCCTCCCTCCCTTGGGAGCCATAATTCTCTGCCCAGATCTAGCTTCTTGTCTACTCCAGTTAACACCACATGCTCCACTTTAAATCTCCAGAGCCTCAGGGAGTCAGTCCCTTCAAATGCCAATTCCAGCCACTTTCAGTAACCTGTTCCTCAGTGTTCATTTGTTCCTTCCCTCCCTTTCTCCCCTTTCCCATTTTTCTCCTTCTCTTCCTTCTCTTCCCCGCCCCCCCCCCGCCGCCCCCAGCTCTATTACTTTTCTTATGACCCTACTATAATAACACTGTGCTGTTCTATATTGGGTCTATATGGTGACCCAGACAGACATGGCTCCTGCTCTCTGGACCCCAAGTCTAGTGGGAGAGACACGCATCTAAGGTAGCATCTGGGGGTGCTATGACAACAGGTACCTGTAGGCTGCTCCGGGAGCAGCTCCTTCATCAGCCTTGGAGGAGAAGAGGATGCTTTCAGGAAAGGTTATATAGAGATTTGAGAGATGAGAAGGCAGGAAGGGAGCAGAGGTAGGGTATTCTGCGAGAGGGAATAAAAGCTCCAGATAGTAAAAGAATGAAGAAAACAGTCTGGATCA